ATTAGATCAGAGAGTTACTTCGGTCGGTAGGAACCATAGACAACAAGTGTCTGCAAACTAAGGGGGGGGAAGTGAACTACAAAGCAAGCGGCGTGACGAGAACTACGGTAAAATACTTACTCAATGATTGTACATATTGACGATTCTTCGTGGGGTCAAATTTTTCGTGGTCATTTTTGTGACAAGTCGTGTAGCACAAAGGTTCTACGGCTTGACAAATAAATCCCACCAAACATCATTGTTTTAAATCCTGATTAATCTGCTCATTCCAGGTATCAACAAATCTTTCCTCTTTGTTTTCTCATAGCGCAACGCAAGGAAGTCTATCTGACACTGCAATTGCACCATTCTGAGTTATTACTTTGAGGTCGAGTTCGGTTGATATAACATCTGATAGATTCATTAGTAGAACTTATACTGTAAATTATTAACCTTATATGCTTGTAGAATAACACTCCATTAAGGTTGTGTGTCGCCGAGAAGTTGTGATGAAAACTGCAATCGACACAGATGCATTTGAGCTACGTTTCGTTTAAATTTAATTGGAATAGTTACGGGTAATTCAATGGATTCAATGGGATGGATCTAATTTTATCAGAAGAGATTGAATGTTTTGCCTACTAACTAAAAATAGTTGAGTTTCGTCCTTTCGCAAACAAGATGTCATAATAGGGGTCAAGTTACGCAATTGTGAACGAGATAATGCAAAATTGAACTCCGATGCTATCGTAGAAATCGTGCTCCATTGTCGTAGATTGGGTTCGGATCATTCGTAAGTACATCTGCAATTCCGACTGATTTCTTGTATTCCGTTGCCTCATTCTCATTTCATGCCCCCCACTTGGCCACACGAGGACGCATACGGCTAAACGCATAGGATTAACGCAAATGCAATCGCAAAAAAGCTTCCGTCCACACGCAATGTTCACCCGATAGTGTCTGTCCACACGAGACAGCTCCGTTTAGCTCCAACCGCTGGAGAAGCTGCAGTACATATGCAGGAGCCTGTACGTGGCGCTGTAACTTCCTCCACAAAGCAGCGAAGAAGCATGGTTGTCATGGTTGCCCTTCTGTTTATTCTCCGCGGTGGGGGCCGAGGGAACCGGGCAGAGTTTTTCGCCAGTCAACGTGTGTTAAAGTTTAAATCTTCCGGACAAAATTATAAAAGTGCCGGTCAAAGGTCTTCTTTGTTATTTATTGAGCTTTAAAACAAATGAATAACGAATCTATATAATATAATAATATAATACATGGAGCCTCTCTTTTTCCTCCCAAGCAGCAGCTGATCCAGTAATGAGTGACCCGGCCGAAAGTAAAAATAAAAATATTTATAACTAGTTTAGGTAGTTTGAGAGGTAATTAAAATAGCTAAGGGAGATGATCTGACTTGAAGTGTGTGTTTTTCTCCGTTCACCGCTGCATCACAGCGGGAGGAACTGCAGGTGAGCAGAGCTGCGTGTCTCCGTCCTATCAGATTAGACTTCACTCGCGTTTATGTCCATATCGAGAGAAAGATAAATAATCTGAATTCAGTGTGCAGTTTACTTTGACGCGGGGGTGAGCGGCAGAGGGTGGGAGGGCGGGGCTGTTGCCTCATCATTATCAGAAAATGATCGTATAGGGCGTACACACGGAGCCGTTGGACCCCCCAGAGCGTTGCGTATGCCCACCTTGGGACCCGTTATCGTTTCCGCAGATGTTTACTATCATATTCGGTCGTCCTCGTGTGGCCGAACGGTCTATATGACACTAAACAGTAACGCAAACGACCGTTTTCGTCCTCATGTGGCCGGGGCCTCAGTAAGCTAAGTAGCCAACATAAGGCTTAGCAGTGCAGATAAATGTGGGCTCACTATTTGGCAAGCAACTGGTCACAGTTGCCCTGTTTATCTCATGTCTTATAAAAGTGTGGAACGGTATATTCTCTTTTTCTTTGGTAAAGGTCGGTCCAATGTACCCTATGCTAAAGGACTTAAGAGCAGAAGCAACAAAGGACCTTCCCTTAGCATTTAGATAACTCAACCAGCTCTTATCAAGGCTTCGAGGTAAATACTTCCAGGTCATTACAATTAGTTAGCAACCTTCCTAAGCAAAAATAACTTGATGACAGGAAGGTACTCCTTCTCTTAAAGCAGTAACTCACACCCAACACAGTGGGAGAAATAAAGATTTGTCCGACTATGGCTTTTGGCTCTCAACCCAAATACAAACTGCCCGAGGCTGTGCTGAAGGCTGCAGTCTGATGAGGCCAACAAAACATAATACACAACACAACTACATCTACTGCAAATAACAGAGAAGGAATTCTGAGGTCCTCAAATCCATAAAACTCACAAAACAATAGTGACAAGGGAGAACCGTGACTAAACAAACCAATGAAAGCATGCGTGACTTCCTGCCAATAGTTGGGACACAGCTCTACTTATATTGCTCGAAGGCAACAACCCTGGTAAACCATATCCCAAAAGGACTCCCCATGGTACATGATCTTAAGCTAGTCCATACAAATACTGCTTACTGTCTTTACACAATATATTCAATTTCACTCCTGAAGCCATTTTGTCATTAAGTGGTGTTATTTTCCTTTTTGTACTACCAATATTCTCCTTGGCCTGCCTTACCAATTTCAATTTTATTTAAAGTTCCCCTCCAGATTGACCTATTGTTGCTTTATTATCCACTGTGCAGGGTTTAACCGGAAGGTTTTTTTTGTGCTCTTCTTAAATCTCACTTTAGCACATGGTTTGTATGTACAGGCATAACGATAAGTTTGCAAGCCAATCCTGATGCAAAGTAAAATTACAAAACTATGATGTTGAAACTTGAAGCCAGGAGGGTACACAAACTCGGAATGGACAGGAAGATCTTGTGTCCAGTTATTACACTTATGTAGTTAATCACAATTTAAATTTTTGCATTTTCTTATAACTTTTAAAGCATACTATTTTCATATGTCCCAAGTCATTGGGGATTCCTGGAGGATGTACAGTTGGTATATTCTACGACGAACAACTATAGATCGTCATAACAAATCTAGAAATAGTTAAATGCTTTTGATTCTGTTGGCATTTTGTCCAACAATCAATAATGTGATGTAGCATCTTCTAACTTTTGCAACTATTAATAAAAATACTGAAAATAACACCACCAAAAACAAAATGGACCCAAATAAAAGACAGTTTCATAACCACCATTTAACAAACAGGATTTTCCTTCAACAACTGCACATTTCTTGAAATGATGCCCAAATAAAAAAACTCTGCCTCACTGCTAATAATGGTAGTGTTTGCAAAAAGTGGGAAAGGTGGTGGCTTTGGATACTTGACTAGGAATTTGTTTGGTACAGTAATGGAGCTGCAGCAAGCTTTGACAATAAAGAAGCGCCCTCCTCTCTGCTTAAGCTGGTAGCGTTGTCTACACACTCCAGTGGGTAGCCTCAAATTAAGCTGAAAATAAATAAATAAATACGTAAAGGGCTTTAATTCCAGCCAGAGCCTCCGAGCAGCCCACTGCAGTCTCCATGATGGTGTTCCTAACAAGTGGCCGCTGATGCTGTTCCATATGCGTTTTCCATTTATTTCGTGATTCCAGTTAACGCATACTCAAATTAATCAATCATCACCCTATTTCGGCAGTTGGACACCAGCTTTTAACTTGGTCTTCGGGACCACCAGTATCTCATCACCGTCCTGAATGCTGTAGGAGTGCAGAGCCCGGGTTTTGTACTTCATTTCCTCCGGACCGAAGGCGCTGCACTTGTCGATGTAGTAGATCCTCATGCTGCTGGTGGACAGCTGGACCACTGTTGTCAGCTGCTTCTTCAGCTCAGCTACGGTCTGGTCCAAACGGATGCTCAGCTGACACAAAGACAAACATTTTATGCAATTGTGACACTAATTTAATTTAGAATAAGTACAATTAACCAAAGTCTGGATATTTGTATTTCTCCGCTTCATTTGCTTTGCCCAGTGTGAAATAATATTTTGTTGATACCAGGATCACGATTAATGGGTTACAATATATCACTCGAAGCCTTTCCTCTTTAGACATTCTACATTATACAACATAACATTACAGCCTGTTTAACACACCTGTTCGACTTTTTCCTCACAGTGAACTTCCACCTCGGCACGGCAGCGAGGTCGAAGGTCGATCTCAGCGAGAGGTTCTAGCTTCCCATACTTGGTTACTAGGGAATGGTATCTGAGGAGGAACAGAGCAGGTTGTGGTGTCAGTATTAAGAGTACACTCGTACCTATAATGCATGACACTAACACTCACACTCTTGTAGTTGGAGTACAGAAAATAAGTGCAGCGTACCTGTAGGGCAGCTCCTCCTCAGGGTAGTCTAGGTGGTAACGGATGAAGAACCTCTCTGCGTCTTCTCTCTCACTGTCAGTCACAACACTGCCATTAAGCAGTGATATTGAAGGAAGCCTTTGAGGAAGCACACAATATTATTGACAATGTGTGAATCAGAAATTTAAGTTGACTTAAGTCAGATTACTTTGGAAATGTTATATGTCATCCTTTTAAACACAAACAAACAAGCAGTTTATGGACAAAGGGATTTCCATTGTGGAGACTCACTGTGCTACCATGAGGCTGCGCTGCTCCGTGTTGGTGTAGGTCTGCAGTAAGGGAATGCCCTGCAGCCGCACCTCCTCCAGCCTGGGGAAGAAGTTGAGCTTCTCAATGTCCTCCCATCGGTTAAGTCCTGAAAACACACATCGAAAATTCACTTTTTAAACAGTTATCAGGATAAGAAATAGCAACAGTTCACATGTATTAGAATGAAGTGCACTGTGTCTCTCGCAGATAACCCTTTTTAAAAAAAAAAACATTTATCCATTTACTTTGTTTGTCCACAGATGATTCTCGTGATGCATTTGTTACATACTGTAAAGTCAAAGAAAAAAACAAAGAAAAAGGCCAAAACATATGCCTTTAATCCAAAAGCAAAAATAAAAAAGACAGGAATTAAAAAAAGAAAGAGAGAGAATTGTAATAATGATAATTGAAATTATTGATATTATCATATCTAAGGTTAATTTAACTCTGTCCAACCCATGTGCTAACATTTCTCTGTGCGATAAGTTAAACCTGGTGTCTCATTTGAATAACAAGTACAATAAAGCTACAGCCTTTCAGCATAGTTTGTTTTTGATTTAAGATAGATCTTAAAGACATAATCTGAAACAACAAGACTAATGTTCTGCTCTCAACAGAACTCCAAAAATAGATCGACCAGCAATACTCCCCAAAATAGAAACAATTCCTGAAAAAGTGACGTGGAGAGGGATCTGTTCCAATACTCTACAGATAAAACAAAGCTTTTAAGATACAATGACATGTTTGCCTTTGCTATTTTTGTCAGCCATAAAGTCTTTGCAAACAGATGCTGACTCTGCCCTTCTGTACTGAGCTGAAAATCTGCAGCATATCAGTGTTTTACTACCAGAATGAAACTATAAATGGTTAAAGGACTGCATTTATATGGCGCTATATCCAGTCTTTAATACTCCTCAAAGTGTTTTACATATACAAGTCATCCACCCATTCAAACCATGTATGTACAGTATAAAGAGAACGATCACGGACTGAAAATTTAAATTGTAGTACCCAGTGGCGGCTGGTGGAAAATATATTTGGTTGGGCTATGGAAATGGTGACCAAACCATACTAGGGCGGTCCGGGGGATTGGCCCCCCGGAAGACATTTTTGAGAAATGACCCCTTAAATTATGACTTCTGGTGATGTTAGAGGGGGGGGGGGGAGGGCAAATTGAGGCCTAAAAATGTGAGATAATCCATAATCTTCAGTGTGGTTAGCTATGAATCTTCCAAAACTGTGCAACAGTACAGTATGCCCACACAAACTGCAGAACACTGGTGATTTGGGAACACTCAAATTATTTAATTCCCAATTAAAATCAGGAGACTAAATACGAACATTATGTGTGTGTGTGTGTGTGTGTGTGTGTGTGTGTGTGTGTGTGTGTGTGTGTGTGTGTGTGTGTGTATGTGTGATACTTGCCAACCCTCCCGATTTTCGTGGGAAACTCCCGCATTTCTCCCGATTTCTGACAAAATCAGATTTACTCACGACTGTTTCCACTCGGACTTTAATACAGCTACACCATTGTTTGGTTTCCATGGTAGCGCGTCTCTTTAGCAGCGCGCGCAACTCAAAGTCTGAGAGGGTGAGGAAGATGAAAACTGAACAAGAATCGACAACTCGACCCTCTGATCACTCCTTTCCTGTAAAATACAGGTCCAGCCCACATATGCTCCATGGTGCCACAGGCATTGCCCTTACAACTACAATAAGCATGTAAATGTTAATCTACAGCTCCGGCGATCCACTAGCACCGGAGTCTCCACCTGCAGACAACTACTGTAGCGTCACCTTGGATACGAGTCTAAACAACACACAGACACACAGGCCTGGGCGCTGACAGGGCGCCCTTTGAGCATCAGATCTGACGACGCTGATTGGCTGAAATTATGTTTCGGCGGCATAGTTTATAGAT